CATATATGTATTTATATAGGGTTATGTATAGGGGATATATAATGGGACTGAATAAGCTCGTATCTAGGATGCTTGTCTTGTCTGGATATTAAGTTGACATTTTTAGCGCATTTTCTCATTTATAGAAAAAATGCACTATTGTGATCGCCATGTCCGTCTGTCTGTCTGTTCGTCCGTCTGTCCGTGACCTCAAGTTTTCGTCGACGAGAAAATGCACTCTCTGTCACTCACTGCATGCAGTGAGTACTGAGTTATATTTTTTCAATATTGGAATCCCGGGATATTAAAAAATTAGATCAGTACTCACAGCAGTACGCGAGTGACAGAGAGCGCATTTTCTCGTTGACGAAAACTTGAGGTCACGGACAGACGGACGGACAGACAGACAGACAGACAGACGGACATGGCGAGCACAATAGTGCATTTTTTCCATAAATGAGAAAATGCGCTAAAAATCGGCATACATGGCGCAAACTTGGCATACATGGTGGAGATTTATTAAAGTAGAAGAAAATATATCCTTGATTATTCTTGACATTCACTAAAATTGAAAATTCATGAAGTTTTCATCGAAAACTTTTCGGATACCACATCTCCATTATCAATTGAAATTTTGATATTACAATAATATAATTATATAAATTTGCAGTGTAAAACCGAATTAGACAATTACAAAGCTTAGAAAGATGAAAGAATATCATTTAATACTTCCAATGAATAAGAACTATGTACTTGTTTAAACAATATTTTCGTATATAGAAGTAAACATAGATAAAATTGTTACTAAATTAAAACGATATACTTATTCAATTGAATAATTTTTGTAATTTAAATAGTTCAATTGTGAGTTGAATCTTGGCTTGAATTTTGGAAGCAAATTTGTATGCTGTGACTTCGCACTGTTTTGCGAAAATGCTACAGCTGAATGAGAAGGATGCCCTATGAGGTTTCCGTATGATTACTCCAATGTGCTTCCTGTATGATGATGATGATGATGACGATGACGATGGCGGTGGAAATAATCCCATAATAAGAAGCCACATGAAGCCAAATCTATAGAGCGCGGCGTCTGCCGAGGGTTTCAGCCAATTTTGGTCATTACCAAAGCATGACTCGAAATCGAATGCGCGATGTTTTCTCATTCAGAGCATGATCGTGACTGTCACTAGTGGGAACGATATTTGATTACCCCATCCTACCGGACTCGTCTCCTTTCGTATCCCTACCTACACCTTTCGCCGTTGCAAATTTTAAAATAAATTTAGTTTGTTCTACGAACCTTATCGACTCGGTTAACGTCACTAAAATATTGTCAAGATAAAAATTTATGTACATCATAATTTCAGAAGCATGACCAAAGTATTGTTATGCACAACGAATGAACGTCCTACTACAGTACTTCTACATCGCGGACAATTTCGAAATGCTGCTTCTGCATTAATTTCTGAATTTTAGTGAATGCAATGTTACACGGAAACCCAGGAAGTGAAACTTCGTGAAAAAATCATGTCAGGATGATATTTCGTGGGCTTCCAGGATTTTATTATATAGCAGTATTGAAAAGTAGTTGTCATTAAGTAGTTATTATTATTAATAATTATTATTATTATCATTATTATTATTATTAAGTAGTAGTAGTTATTATATTTATTAGTATTTAAAAGCAGCCAACTCTGCAAACCATCCATAAATTCCGATGTAGCTATTGATTACTACCTATAAGTATCATCAGTCTTTAAGTGGCATCAGTCTTCCGGCATTGGTAGATTTATCAGCGTGAGAACGAGTTTCTTCAAATTTCTTTTCAACGCCTTAAACTTCGTGCAGAATTGCAAACACTTTGAGCTAGAAGACCATGAATTTCCCACCACTGGCAACTTTAATGGCTTCGTGCGCCATTGACGCGCATACAAACTTTATTAGGAAAGTTTTCAAATATGTATAAAGTTTTCAAAACTTCAGGTACAATAATACCAGACACTCGGATATCACGAGTGCCGTATTGAACTCATACGAATTGTTACCAGATTGATCAATGCCGCACTTTTAATTGAGCGTGTGAACTTTTATATTAGTTACAAGTTAAAAGTCCTCGTCATCTCCCACTTGATTGATAATATACTAAGCTTATAACTTACACAGACTATAATTTTAGCTAAATTTGCAGCGCATTACATCAAATGTCGAAAGTCATGCTCAAGATTTCCCAATTTGGTAAATTATCGAATGATTTCTAAATAACTAGAAACATCAATATAAATTTATAACAGTATTAAGCGATGTACAAATTATGAAAAGACGTTTTAATATTGAGCAAACGAATATTAAAATATATCAGGTGAGTGTTGGCTTAAGCGTTAATAGCATTATGAGGTTCGAGCTTGGAGTACTCAGGAGAATTACGGAATGATGTTCGAGAAGTGCGCAATATTAGAAGTCAAATTATTGCTATATTGCTGCTATATTAAATATTGCTCTATTATTGCTTAGGAGGCTAGAGTTCCGGCCATTCTATCGTGATCTTCTCCATGCAATAAGCTATACTCTAGTACACTAATTCACTTAATTGCAGGGAATTGCATCATTTCATTATCTGGATGCGATGAGAAGTCTCAACACGGATTCTCATAATCAGGTTAGACTTGCCAGCCAATCTATCATATGCTCTGTCCTAATACTGTCAGTCTTAGCCTGAAAACCTAATTTGATGATTATCAACACTCAATCAAAGGTAGTTAATTAATATTAATAACTAATCTCCATATCTAATAGAATCCATTTTAATTGACAACCAAAAAAATTTAAATTTATTGCCAATGAGAAAGGAATAGCAATCCCATGAACCATGCAATGTAAAAAGTTACAATTTTCACAATAACCTTACACTTCTTACCGAACAATGGAAGAAATTATCTACCATTAATGTTCTCCCCGCTCGAACAGGCCTAATCTAATTTGTCGGCTGCTCTCAGTTATTAATGAAACTATTACGGAGCCTTTCATTCCCCGAGTGATATTGGCGCGTGGTTTTCGAGTAGTCATTTTTTCATGCAATTCACCTTGATGGCAACATATTAACTATCAACTATAACTCTAATTGATAAATGGCACTTGCGTGGGAATCGAGCAGCTCTAATTAACAAGCCGTATTTCCAGGAAGTTTCATCACTCTTGTTTTGTCCGTTTACTGCAACAAATATTAGCACATTTTTTTACGAACGAAGTAATAATTTAGAGAACAGCTCATGGCCAGTTATTTCATTAATTGCTGATTGCGAATCTTGCTGGCTTTGGTATAGCTTCATTTCGTGCATGTTATCTATTTTGTAACAATTGTTCTTACGATTTTCTCTCTTAACTTCCGTGTCACGATTTCTTTGTATTTCTTATCTGTGAACGAACCATTGAAACATCTTTCAACAGGTACCCAGACTCGAGAATTACAGTTCATGTCAATTTGTCAATTGCTGCGTTTTTTTCTTTTTCCCTTATTTCTTTGCACAGCATTAAGATCTTTTTGCTAATGAAACACGACAGACTTTAATTAACATCACGTAAGCTGACTTCGCAGGAGTTCTAAGCTGCGTCCAGGAAGATTAATTTGTCTATTCGCGTTTCCGTTCGGCTTCCTACTCTGCAACAATTCGCAATCAAGCAAAAAACAGACATCAAGACCAAAGTCGGAGCAGTCTTTGCAGCGTCACGGCAAAAGGTCTTACTTCAATTAAGAAAACATTAAGCTGAGAGTTTCATTTGTCAAGCTGCAAACTTTTAACGGAAGAAATTTTCTAGAGTTTTTTCTTCGCACACACAGTTCAGAAGTTAATTCGAATTAAATGTAGAATTCGAATTAAATTAATGTGTATTATCTTTTGAAAGAATTTATTGAATAAAGCAAAGAACTAATTATCATATATGACATATATTCAATTCAAATAGCATGCAACAAAACAGATTGAAGAACCTAGTTGAAGCCCCTATTCTACGTATTCTTACCTTTACAAATAAACAGAAAAAAGACTAACATAATAAGAACGAAACTCGCAATCGCGACCGAAAACCTTTGTCTGGACACAAATTTTCCACACACAGTAATTATATCGGTAATTTATACCTAGAGTTGATCAATATTGTGCCCTTTTACACACAGTGCTGAGTATGAATTTGCAAGATCAGAGTCTGAATCGCAATATAAATTATCTTTAGAAATATCAAGCATAAACTTGCGTCTACTCATGTCTATATTTATTGCACTTGTGATCTACTGCTACATGTGATCCGAGTGCAGTTTCGTTCTTGAGCCTCTGCAATTTCCAGGTGGCCAAATGGTCCCAAGGGCCCTCCAGATAACCTTTATGTGGGCTTTATTGCAGGCCTTAAACGCTTCCAAGTTTACCGAAGATAATCTCGATTTTCACACCTTTGCAGGCCGCTGAAGGTCGAACGTGTGCTGCTGATAACTCAAATTTACGCACTATTGCAGGCCACGGAATTTCGTAAGTGCGCTGCTGATAACTCAAATGTAAGCACCATTGCAGGCCGCGGATGATCGCACGTGCGCTGCTGATAGTACTCGAATGTATGCACCATTGCAGGTCGCACGTGCGCTGCTTATAACTCGAATGTATGCACCATTGCAGGTCACACGTGCGCTGCTTATAACTCGAATGTATGCACCATTGCAGGCCGCACGTGCGCTGCTTATAACTCGAATGTATGCACCATTGCCTGTCGCACGTGCGCTGCTTATAACTCGAATGTATGCACCATTGCAGGCCGCACGTGCGCTGCTTAGTACTCGAATGTATGCACCATTGCAGGTCACACGTGCGCTGCTTATAACTCGAATGTATGCACCATTGCAGGCCGCACGTGCGCTGCTTAGTACTCGAATGTATGCACCATTGCAGGCCGCACGTGCGCTGCTTACAACTCGAATGTATGCACCATTGCAGGCCGCACTTGCGCTGCTTATAACTCGAATGTATGCACCATTGCAGGCCGTCAGAAGTGTCGGGAGGCGTGGCCGTCCCTGCAGCTGGAGCGGTGCTTCACACTGGCGCTGAGCGTAGCGCTGCTGGCGCTGCCTCTCGTCGTCATGTCCGTCGCCTACGCCAGCATCAGCGTCACGCTCTGGAACGGCATCCGCCTCCAGCAGGACTCCGGCAGAGGTCAGGACACTGGAGTTAGGAAGCCAACATTATAGAAACAAGAGAATATGTGGTAATATATATTGAGGATCAATTAAAAGTCGATTTTAGTTTGAAGCTGGCTCTCGACTTGCCTGGTTGCCGGTAAAATTTTGTTTGTACGTGTTTTAGATAGGAATCATGTTCGGAGAATTTACAGTCGTTTTTATTTACAGGCCCTCACATGTTCATACTCGAAACAAAGCGTTTTGGTTAGTATGTTAACACCTTGTGCAATATTAATATATCATCAATAATTTTTACCATTGTAAGGTTTGTTTTACAGAAACCGATTTTAATCGATCGATCTGATCATCTGAAGTTACGAGAAACTCGCGAATTCACACGCTTCGAACCCAATACATCTAACACATATTTAGAAAGAATACTTTTCAATCTTAGCAAATTATGCAAAATTTGATGAAAATACTATAAATTATGACTTTAATTAAGGTTCTAAGTAATCGTAAAATTGGCCAAAAAGAGCTTGATGCCTAAATTCTTTCCGTCATTCTGCCTAGCATGTTGCGCTGATATTTTGGTATAAATGAAGCCGTTTTTTCCTTCCACTCTATAAGTATCATCTCAAGTTACCCCCTATAAACTTGCGTCTTAATTATATTTTTCATGTTAACACAATAGATTGATTTTTTGTTGCCCAACAACTTTCAATGCGAACTGAGTCGAATGAGATATAATTTGTTTGCATTTATTTGTTTTGAAATTGTATAATTGCTTCATTGATTTCAGTGATCGCCTTGAGCAGCATGCAGAGCATGTCAGAAGTTCAACAAACGCTTCGATCAAAGCGCAATGAGAAACAAAAGTCAAAGATTGCAATAAGGTAAGTAGTGAAACATCTCAAAGATCTCGAGCTTGAAATTAGATAACATTATTCAATCGATGCATGGTAATTAATATTATTTTGGTTATTACGTCTTATTTCTCTCGTTGTTCGAGCTGTTTCTTCTCTAAAATGGCGTTCTCCTTTGACTTTTTCAGGTTTCGCAAGTTTCCGGTGCAAACAAACATGTGTCATTTTTGCAACCGTTTTCTGGACAGCAACGGATGTCACTCCAATGTTGAACACTCCAGCTACTACCGACCACAGGACAACAAATGTTTCTCAACGGAGGAATGTAACTTAGCTTTAAAAAATGGGGTAGATTTTTCGCCTTTTAAATTTTCTCCACCTGATCGCGTCCAGTCGATGGAAAATCTTGGAACAGGGCGTGGGTACCTCAGCCCGGACTTTGACGTTTTTGAGGCGGCACATCATAATTTCGAGCAGCATCGGTTTCGTGCTGACAACCTCGACGACCAGCAAGGTGTTAAAATATTTGAATTGGTAGAACGCAAAGAAGGAAGCTTTACTTCACATGCTGGACAAAAGGGCATGAAAGCATTCGCGAAACCGTCTCCACCAACTCGAGTTCTTTGGAGACTCAAGGATCTTGAGACGCACGAGTTGAGCGCTTCTGGGCTCAGGTCTCAATGTGCAAGCGAACTTCTAAAGGCTATTCCAAAATCTAATCGTGAACTCGCATCCAGAATTCATTACCTTGAAACTAGGAGTTCGCCGACAATTATAAGACAGTACAGCAAATCTGAATGCGACTTGACCAATCAGTCTGGAAAATTATCTCAAAAAGTCACATTTTTGGGTCGTCAAAAAGATGCTGGTAATCACAGACGGCCTAACATGGCCTTCAGGAAACAAACTGAGATAACACCTACCGAGAGCGGATTAGACCTGAATATGTGTTGTGCATCTGACCAACGCACTCCCATAAGAAGTGGGGATATATTTGCAGACGAATTAGGAACGCAGTTAAATCGTTACGCCCACAATGGGCGCTCAAGTTGCGAGTGGGAGAAATGTAAGAGAGACGAAACGTATGAAATGATGTGCAATTTTGCGGAATTCAACCAAACTGATGCGATGCCTTTTCCTCCGAGAACTAAGAAAATGCAGACATCACACATAGAAAAAAGTATTCTGGCAAAAAAGCGTGTCACCAAGATGCTTTTTGTGGTGGTCTTTGAATTTTTTGTGTGTTGGACACCGATATTTGTTGTGAACATCCTTGCCCTGTATATTCCTCAAGAGATTTACAAGCGACTAGGATCTATCGGCATTTCGTTCCTGCACTTACTGGCCTATGCCTCGTCGTGCTGCAACCCCATCACCTACTGCTTCATGAACAGACGCTTCGTACAGGCTTTCCTGCACGTGTTCGGGTGCAGGAAAACAGGGGTTGTCGAGCAGCCGCGTTTTCACGGGTCCCACGCGAGCAACACCAGGTCACCGAGTCAGCCAAGTCTTAAGAAATAATGGCAAGATAAAATATAACTCAGTACTCACTGCTGTGAGTGACAGAGAGCGCATTTTCTCGTCGACGAAAACGTGCATAAAGTCACGGACGGACAGACAGACGGACGGAAATGACGAGCATAATAGGACATTTTTTTCCATAAATGAGAAAATACACAAAAAAGTCAAGCGGTATTTGTAAGTCTCCTGACCTGCAAGCCCCATACTCTGAGTAGGTTGTCTGAGGAATACATGCAGACTTTTCCCGTTTCTCAAAAGAAGAAAAATGTATTATGGACTTAAAAAATTTAATGGTATCTTGCCAAATGGCGCTCTTCCCAAGCTTATTATCTAAACTGTGTTTTACCTGTCTCAACGTATGCGTGCGGATTGTGTTTAATTCCGGAATTTATCTTTGCTCAGAGTAAGATATAAATGTACTCATAATTGACTCCTCCTCATTCATTTAAAGCAGCAATTATTATACAAATAATAAGAATTGCATGACGTAATCAGTCTTTACAAATGACACGAAGATTAAGTGAATCGGAAATAAATTTTAAAAACGATTTCTAATATTGGAGTGCGGAATTAGAACGACAGGAGGAAACAACAATGACGGCGCATATCAATCACCATGAATGTGTATTGTAATTAATGTATCTATTGTTACGTGTTCCTATTTGTGACCCTGAAAACAATGTCCGTGATTTTGTTCATTGCACTTCCATCACGAAGTGGGGAAATAAATGTGATTCATCTGAGAACTCTTGTTTCTTTTCCACCTTTCGTAGTGAGTGTGAAATTCAGATTATTTTCGCCGATATTTCTAAGTTCTTCGAATAATAGTTTTTAATAATAGTTTTCCTCCTGAAATTTTTGGAAACACAGGCGAATGATGCAGAAATTAGGCTTAGCTTATTCAATCAAATTCTATTTTTAACTATTAAAGTCGCCAAAACGATACTAAATGGTTAAACGTCCGGGAGCCCCTGCCAAGCCTCTGTGCACTCACAAAGGATCAAAAGATCCAAGTGTGGTTCAAGCTGTGCTTACGAATGTTTCTTGTTAAATAAAAATAAAATGGAGTTATTTGTTAATGGTGCATTTCAATATGACCTATCTGCCGTTCATTGATGATAGGCGGTTGGACGTATATTGTATTATTAGCGAGTTATATTCATAAAAGTTATATCCATTACTCACGTTAATTTCTATGCACCAGAAATAGTTATTTTTTCGCCATTATGCATCAACCAATCCAGTCACAATTCATTGCTTAAGCTTGAGTGTTCCAACAATATTAAGATGAGTTGACAAACGATCAACATGACGAGTTCCCTGGCGAACTTGTATTGATAAAAGACAGCTTATCTAATTAATTTAATTTTTAACAGAATTATTATCCTTCTTATGGTCAAAATATAGATATTAAATTGGAAAATCTGGAATGAAGATTCGTCATATTGCTCAAATATTACGCAAAATTGTATAAATTGTGCTATCATTCTAGATAGGCATATTCAAATAGGGTTTGTATGTATGGGGTATGATGGTATGTCCAAGCAAATGATGATGGTATGTCTAAGCAAATACTATTATAGCCTTAACTAAAGTCAACACCGCTTCAAATGCTTTTATGTGTAACACTATCGATATATTTCCAAGCTGATATATGGGCAATCCTTTCAACAATAGATTTTTGTTGACAGAGGGGGAAGTTGTGATTTAACGCTGAACATATTTTCTTTTTAAATACTCTGTCACAGAAATTTAAAACTCTATCGCTTCCTTTGATGCTGACGAAGTCAATTTGCCAGAACGCAGACAGCAAAAGATTTGTAAATTGTCATATGTCACAGCGCATAGAGACCAGTTTAGAGTTGTGACAATATTGTAAAAAGTCTTCTGTACGCTCAGCCCTTAAGGGGACACGATTATTAAAATATTTTGCTTAATGAATATGGAAATTCAATTTTTGTTGGTGAGTCATTTTATATCTCGATTCGAATTAACGAAATATCTTGTGAGCATTACATTGCTATCATGCATTAGTTGTTTCCCTAAAATAATGCACTCGACCTGAACAGACAAACAGTTATCAACCGCGACTTCATGCCAGCAAAATCATCAAAGAATATTTCGTATTGCAAAGTATAACATCAAGCAAGTACTGCGACATTATTAACGGAGAAGTATTGTCAGTCGGACGTGGAGAAGGTAGAGCATCACTTTAATGATTTTCGAGCTGACACAAAAGCCACCAATGTCGTCCTTGAAATCTTTATCCTGCGAGTTCGGCTCGGTGAGCTAAACATTTTTTAAAATGCTCTACCAAGGGAATTATGTTAAATGGAGACGATGACTGCTAGCGTGCATTAGTTAGTATTGATGTGTACTTCGATTCGATAAATTACAGGTGCATATGCGTGTTGCATGCAGCGACAACGTGTGTTTCCTTGGTAAGCACAAGCAACTGAGGAAGTTTTCCCGACAATTTTTCTAAGTGATTTGGATGTAAAAATAAAATGTTTCGTTAACGACACAGATGAAATGTCAAGTTATTTAAAGATCATGGCTAGTATAAAAAATTAGCTCTTTCTTTATACTCATGGAGAAATCAAAGACCACTCACGACTTTAATCTTTGAAAATGATTTCCAAAGTTAACGTTTCTTAGTTCTCCAGATTACCAGGAACGATAAATCTTCTAAGCGGATCGAGATACAGAGTTTCTGCGCCACTAAAAGCTTCCTTGACGGCGTGGCATTCGTGATCACTTGTTACTATTGAAGCAAGAAGAAAGTTCGGTTCAGGTTTTCGATCATTTAAACTTAAATCTAATCTGAGCAAAATGAAGAATAAATCTGAAATTGGTACTCCGTTTCTAAATAGCTTGAATACAGGGTGGGGCAGAACCGATTGAGCAGTTTTGAGGCGAAATAAAAGAGTAATGGAGGTATATAAAGAATAAAGTTTATTTTCCTCGAGGTTAGCATAACATACCATTTAGAATACTTATGATTTGAAAACAATATCTGGAAGATGGTGGCTGTTCGCTGCAACACACTGTTGGAGTCATTCTCGGAGGAGGGCGTAGCCGTGACAGTGAATTCTGAACGCTATGCTGCAATGTTACGAAATTTCTTGCAGCCCAGGATGGAAAACATTGTTTAAAATGAAGCATTGGGAGACGTGTGGTTCCAGCAGGATGGGGCTACAGCTCATACAGCCCGAATGTCACTCAATGTTTTGCGACGCATGTTTCCCGGACATCTGGTGTCTCTGAGTGGTGATTCACAGTGGCCTGCGAGGTCACCTGATTTGAACATTTGCGATATCTTTCTTTGGGGACATCTAAAAGAAAGGGCGTTAGGAAGTCGCCCTCACACCCTACCAAAGCTAAGGGAACAAATTATTGTAGCAGAGGTTGTGGCCATACCTTGCCATATGAGTGAACGTGCTGTAGGAAACTTCCGAGAACGACTCCAACAGTGTGTTGCAGCTAACGGCCACCATCTTCCTGATATTGTTTTCAAATCATAAGTATTCTAAATGGTATGTTATGCTAACCTCGAGGAAAATAAACTTTCTTCTTTATGTACCTCCATTTACTCTTTTATTTCGCCTCAAAACTGCCCAATCGGTTTTGCCCCACCCTGTATAAACGCATGAATACAAGCCTAGCTTGAAAAGCTGTTGGGCGCGTTTTCGACTGTTCGTAAGCGAGCAGATGCATGTTAGCTGCAGGGTCAAATTTATGGACTAAAGTGAGAAGTATTTATCGAGCCTTGTTTTTCCTTTGAACGTAATAATAAGGCTCATTCTTGATAAAAAAACGCTGGATTATGCCCAAACAATGACGATGGATATCAGTAATCAGGCCTGATTCTAATCAGGCATAGTCACAAGGTCTTTCTAAATCGAAGCTTTCACTCATGCGAGTTTGTTAAGATTCGCGATTTTTGTAGATTACGTGGCGTAATGCAAGTTTCTGAAAGTTATTTTGTATAAGTTCAGACGAGCAGCGAAGCAAGGTGAAATGTTCAGTGTTTTAATGATCAGTCGAAATTCGTCGCGTTCTTCCATAGATAGTTCAATCAATTAAAAAATTTACAATTGACAGAGTTGTACTCTTACCATATGAGGACCAGTGAACTGAATTTTAGACAAATTGGATTCTATGGCTCCAACTAAAGAATTCTTACGGAAGGCTGAGAGTGGTTGAACAATCTCATTTTCTCCTGACATGCTGCTGACAAAAAAACACGACAGCAGGATTATTAGAGTCTTGATCGAACGAAAATTACATCAAATTTTCCCAAAACGTTTCGAAGTTTGCTTGAAGACTGTGAGCTTTCAGGTTAATAACTATGCAAACAAATTTTAAAATGGGTTCATATCAATTGTTTATAATTTAATGAACAAATTCTATTTTTCACATTAGGGAATGCTTCAAATTTGTTCAATTTTGTTCCGGTATGTATAATTCTCAACGTCGTTAATTACAATATTAGAATTGCCGTCAGAAGCTCGTCTCCGGAGGAAATTTTTTTGTCCAACCAAATTCAGTCTGACGCCTCGGTAATGAACTGCTGCTGAATATGTAGTTTCAGCCGGTATGTTCTCAGACTCCACATACACAAAAATAGGGGCGGGTCAAGGAAATTTCGAACTCTTTCCCTGGAGAATTTGGATTGGAGGAATTTTTTGACTTGGCGGGTGAATGTAAATAATTACCGAGCATTTTAAATGAGAAAATTCAATTTCTGTGTCCATTCTACGCTAGAAAACGGAAATCAAACGGAACATAATGAAAGAAAAAGCCTCAAAAACATAAAATATGCAAAATTCCGAATTCAATTCATGTGACTGACAATGCTTGCACAAGGAATGTACAATCTAGTACCTCGAGAGAGTCAAAATGAGCCAACTTCGTTTGCGTTAATTTCTTATGACGAATGTGGTTACCGTATCGAGACAGGAAAACCAGTAGGCGCTCAACTGGAAATAATATGTGATGATCTGCTGGCTTTTGAGAGAGAATTCGTTTTGTGGACCACCTTGGACCTGGAGGAAACTTGGCTGACGGCCGCGGCGAGACCCTCGTCATGAATATAACGGAGAGCTCAACACTAGGTGGCAACTCAGAATGCGTATTCTGACTCAGAATTTTAGTTGGCATCTTAAAATGCTCTAATTAAAATTAATTAATTAAAGTAATCAAAAATTACAGTAATTAAAACGAGTCTACGCAATTTTTTAAAAGGGAAAACCAGGGGTCGGACCTTGAGTAGATAAGCATTGAAGGGCACAAAAATAAAAATAAAGCACTAATATTTTTGAAAAAAAGGCAGCATACGCGCTCATAAAAACCTTAAAAACCTTACAAGGGTGCACCATAAATGTACCCTTGGCGTTGTAACCGATATCATTAACTATCGTTCATTAACTTGGCAATAGGAGTATGGAAAAATCATATGAAACTAATGAACTAATGACTAAAAAGACAGATAAGTAATATTCCTAAGAACAGAGATCCAACGGCAGGCCGAACAGTTCAGTTTTAATTAGGCATATATAGATCGTCGAGGGAAGTGAATCGCGTTTTTTCAGCGAGATTAATTTGTTTGATCACAAAGCTTGATTTGCTTTTCAAGAGATGGAACTGATCAAGTCACAAATTTGCGTACTCATTCATTACAAGACACATTATTGAAAATTTGAGAAGCACATAGCAACTTTATTTAACTAATATAAAATATGTCAAATATCACAAGCTCGGTGGTAGGAGTGAAGGATAATGCCCAAAGGTGCAAATCCCATAGGACTTGTAGCAATAAAAAACTCTAGGACCCTTTTACAGGACCCTCGAGATTTTGCGCATTCGTGTTAGAAGATCTAATTAACTTTTTTGAAGTGGAGACAATCTGTCGCACTGTATTACTGCACTTACAGATGTGTATGTTGCTACGGCGTCATTTGCTGAAGCTAGTAAAAATTATCTAATACGTAAAACTTCGCGATGATAATTATCAGTACCTGATTGTGAATGACGTATAGGCACATTAAATTACTTCCCGTACTGCGACGATACACAAAGACATAGACAACTTTTGAAGAAGGCACTGTTTTTTACGAAAAACACCTTCTGGAAAATCTACGAACTTTATGCAGAGGCAATCAGTTCTCCGCATACCAGCTAGTGTAGTGGCAGAACGAAAGCCTCAAGAAGCATTAGAGCCTTCGGCTGTAAAAGGGCTCAGGTCTGCTATTGAACGACCTAATGAAAGGGATTTCCAATTTGTCACGTACGTAATTGAGACAAATTTACGTTGTTAATACGTTGACTTCGATTGCTTCATCATGTACCGTTATTTCACTTTTTGTACTATTATGAATTTATGCACCACTACGTACTGGAGAAATACACGTCGTGGTACGCATACGTACCACTTCGGAGGCAACGTGTTAAACCATATTGATGTATCTAGTGAAAATGCGTCTTACAAAGGCTGTTTACCCAGGAGGATAAAATCTCAAGAACATCCTATTTTAGTCTGTCAATTTTTAATTCACTCTATCGTGTCCGCGATGCATGATGATAGCTAATATTTTGAAACTCTCTCAATATTTGTTAATATTAATAAATAATAATATTCATCGATCATGCAAACGAAATTTGGGGGGATAAGTCACAGACCGGGAACATTTTATTCGCTATTTTACAACAAATTGGAAACTATTGCAGTTTTTAAATCAGTTAAGAAACATATTTTAAATAAAATAAAAATTGTTAATGTGATTCTCAAACTTGGTTGCTTCTTTTATAAAAATCTGAAACGAGAGTGGCAACAAAAATTTGAAACTGTAAAATCGCATTTGAATTGACATTTTTTAAGATAAACTGGAGGCAAAAGTATCAATGATAATTTTGAGTTAATAAACAACATTTAACACTAGAGTTCCAAAAACTAAGACGATACAAAACACATAAAATGTAATCAAAGATTAGGTAGTTCTTCGTGCAGTCAATTCTTTGATGACAATAAAATCACATCCTGTGCCAGTGGCAGCAGTATTCGGTCTTTCTGCAGATAAAAGTGACTGATATCTACCAAGGGTATTAACAGTGTCAATTAATTAGGGCTATCCAGCTAGGAAGTCGGTAGCAAAGTGATTTTTACTACTGCCACTTACTCGGTCAATTCGTTGGCACATGTAAAATATTCTGACTCAAGTACCTTAATAAGGTTGCCAAAATTAGGTAAAACATTTAAAAACTAAGCATAAGTTTCTTGAAATCGGCAGATGATTTCGGTTATTAAGATACGTGCGCGAGTTATTTTGTCCGTTTTACAGCGTATTCTGAACAGCTGAAGGCTCACATCGCTTTTCTTCGATATCTCGTTTATTTTGTTTTTGTCTATACTTGTACGTGTGCACCGAAGAGACGAGCGGCTCTGCGAAAGTAACCTTTTTTACTTCTGTTTTTAAGCAAAGTTTGTGATCAATGTCTTCAAACTTCGACCCTGATGAACATCCGACATCGTTCAACTCATCTTCTGTCGACGCCTTGAGATAATTTTTGGATTCTGGGCAGGTTGTTTGTTTATTTTCCTCGAGTTCGATCCTCGTTTTATATTCGGTTTTTAAAATCTCGTTCCAGCAGCGATCCCACAACCAAACAAAAATTGCAACAGCAAAACTCGAAACTGAATCAGAGGAAGCCCAAGATTTATTGTCGGTCAATGGATACTTGGAGTTAGTTTTTAGAATAGATTTTGTAGTGACGACTGCTTTCAACTTTATGTCTTGATTCTGAGACACAACATCATGTTCTTCATTACAATTGTCTTCATCCTTCAGTTGTCTTGTACATTCGTCCATTTTAAAATGGCCATTAGGCGGCGAAGCTTCCGACGGAAAGCGGATATCTGGATTGAACTCAGAGTGATGCTGACACTCAGGACTTGCAGCAAAGTGAGAGTCGTCGATGTTCATGCTAGTGTCGCTTGTGCATGAACTAGTCTCGGGTTTGACGGTCTGTCCGTACAATGGGATGTCGTCACTTAACATATTGGATGCGAGGACCGGCGTCTTCTGTTCCTCCTTAATTACTCTAGATTTCGAAGTGACAGTAGCCTGTCTTGATTTGCGTGGCTTGGATGAGCGGACTTTCTCAGGGACAGCAGGACTGGGGCCGGCGTCACGCAGCCGGACTGGCTGATATGAGTAGCACCCCAGGGCATACATCACGGCAACCAATGAGGACAGGAGAACCTGATAATTTTAAGACAAGGAACAAAGATTTAAGCTGAATTATCGATGAAAACAATTGTGATATTACAAGGTTATGCAGTGAATAGTAGATATTTTGATAATTAATAGGCGAAAAGATACGATTCTGAATTGTTAAGATTTAATGCTCGCACTGCAATGATCGATTAATTCTATTGTAATATCATGCACAACAGAATAGCGTCGAATGCACAGAATGACTAATAAGAAAACATCCATGCTTGTGCATGTCTGCCAAAAAACTTTGTGTCAAAAAAAATGATCGACCCGCTCATTCAAAATTCGTGTCGCTAAATTGACCCGTTTACTTTATCTGCTCAAGCTCAGTGTTAATCACAACGATTAAGGGTAAAACTGGCAATTCGCGGTAACCAGAGAATGCAATCAACACTGAGGATAACCGTTATCGACTACGCACAAAAAAATATTCTATGTGACTTTTGGGTGGCTGATCACATATTTGACATGCATGATCATACACCTTTAGGTGCGCATCGATCAATTCTATTCACATTAATAACAATGAAACTAGACACTGGACAGGCAGACTTGCACTTCTCGTCGTCACGTGGTACCTCTGACGAGCTAGTGGTGCGTGTCGTGGTGAACGCTACTGAGTCATTCGAAGACTTGCTGCAGTTACGTTCGTTACTCCATCAATTCTGGTCAGGAAATACTGAAAACATGATACAAAATAATGTTTAACGAGTACATATATTGAATAATAATGCGATTTAAATGACACGGTATTTGAAAAACTGAATAATTTTCTGTTCAATTAATGTCATGAGCCGGCAATGGAATAGTAAATATGTACCTGAAAGAAAAGCCGAATTCAACATCCGTGTTTCCGGGCCTATTACTTTTCAAGTTCTACTTATTTCTAAAAGCCTTAGTTCATTCTTAAATAATATAAAATACAGAATTTCCTACTGAATTTGAAGTTCCATGTTTAATAAGAAGTGGTACTGCACCTGACGATTCTGTTCTATTTGTCTATTAAAGACACGACGCATAAACCCCAGTGGTGTATCGGTGACTTTTAGTTCCAGAATTTCTCTTTCAATTGGCTATAAAATAAATGAATGAGAGGGGGCAGATATGGAATTTGAAAATATAATTAGAAAATAATGTCCATCTCTCAGGTTCCAATCATTGTGCAGGCAAAGAAAAGGGTCCCAAGCACTGGCGGATTTTGCATTTGAGCCGAAGTAAACTTGCTAGTCAGATTCAAAGTGTAATTTTGACGTCAACTGTTGGTGGTTCCCCAGTAACTTCAATGGAGAAGAGTTGGGGCAAATTCCCACATACAGGGTGGCCCAGTGGTTACAGCTCAGGGTGCCATGATTGAATCAATAAGTTAGGGGTTCGATCCCGGCTACCTGCAACCATGGTTGAACTATATAAGGTTGACCCACAAGAAGTTCCGTCTTTCAGTTCAGCTTACTTGTTACGTCACGTAGATCAAGAAACGTAAACAAACCCGTCATTCCCTTGACGGATTGGTTGACTGGTTTGATCGCATTTCGGTGATTGGTTAATGCCCGTGACGTCACTGAGATCAGTGACGTCACAGGCGAACAACGAACTACATCCGCAAAAATGGGCTTCTGATGGGTCAACCTTACACTAGTTCAACCATGCCTGCAACTGTCTGGTCAAAATTGTCGAGGAGTCCGGGCTCTTAAGAAAAACAAAATTGAAGCACTGAGTTGTGTGTACGATACCGCAGCAAGCAGTAAAAATTCTGCGATGTTCAGAATCAACGACAGTTCTAATAACCAAATAATCGTGAAACCGCTATTATTTTAATAGGATTATTAACGTATTGGGAGCCGAGGCCTTTCACATGCACCAAAGAGTGGTTCAATTGGCATGAATTTACTTAAATCACACTAAGCTATCATTTGCACTATTTCACAGGATGTATAATCGAATATCGTAATCACCAAACATGCCATTTCAAAAGTCTCAATGATTTATACACACACTTAAAAATAGTTTCAGAAAGTTCGGCACTTCAATATTCACCAAATAAAAACTTGGAAAATTACATATGGCACGCAGCGGTAGAGGCCTATGCACCTACGTCGCACATGCCTCATGTCGACTTCACGAATAAGGGCGAAAACACCATCGAATTTGATCTTCATTCTTCATTGATCTACACGGTAATTCTATGTCAATAAAGAATGATAACACAGAGAATGTTTGTCTTACGAATTATTCGATGTCAACAACACGCGAGTGCTAATGGGTAGGCCTAGCGGGAAATCACTGCCAGCTACCGTTTGTATGAACAAAATTTTAAGCAAGAATATTATCACACATTTTGTATCAACCGGAACTAATATATAGAGCAAATATACTTTTTACAATTAATTTAATCAAATATTCACTATTTTATTGAGTTTCTTTACAGCAAGGCTGACATTTGGAACTGTGATTTGATTCACCACGAACCTGTGTCACTCCACCAATGCATCCATCACCTTACACAGAACTAGACTGGCCAGTGGCCAGTAGGCACTAGGCAGCTTTGTTTGTGGTCACAGCAGAGGAGACACAACTTGCTAAACCCTGGACTGCTATAAAGATCTCGTCTGGGAATGTCGGATTCGAAATTATTACCATTTCCTAAATATATTTTATCGTTCAATCAAAAACGAGTAAATATTTACATTACATTTGCATATTTGCTTTTAAAAAATATGTTTTGAAAATAGTAATGGAATTGCTTTATTTACGGAAAATCGTTGGATCACCTGTGAACAGCAAGGCATAAATGGATAATTCAATATTTTTGGATTTATTACACAGTTTTATCGCTGTGATATTGTTATGCATCTCATGCATCAATAGCGCTTCTCTGCGTACAAAATTGTTAGAAAAATTCTCACAAATTTTATTGTTTTTAAGTGCCACAGTAAAGGTTATACAGTTTTTTTAATGTGTTGTTTCGGGACGTGTTTGTTTGTTTTATGTCACGATTAATTTAGAATTAGATTATATAATATGTAGTTGTATTATGATGATATTTTTGCATAATAATTACTCTTCTTTCATTAATTTACAGAATACCTTATTAAGTAGCATAGTTCGTGCGTATTTTAAAGAAACACAAATGGACAGCATGGATATTGAGTATTCCGAGAAAAATAAACCCAGGATTACATTGAACTAAGTAGATGCACCAGCGCCGTCGGGACTTAAAAATGTTCAATCGAGAATATTTTGGCCTGGTAAAACAATTCAGGAGGCTCACATATGGCCGATGAATAACCAACGACTGGCCGGCTCATCTCCGGCTCAATTTGGGATTGGATTTACGTAACCAAAAGTGGACCAAGATCTTTGGGAGAAGCTGTGTGCTCCTAAAAGAAAATTGTTATTGATCATCGATCGCGTTATACCTTATACATGCGTCGGCATTTGCCGGCATCGTTACAAAAAAAGGAGGTTGGCCTCTCAATGGTTCCCACGTTCAACAAGCAACCAAACTCTAGTAATTAATTAATTAATTAATGACATAAAATTGCAGTGAGCGCAATGGGTTTTCAAGACTCATATATTTAATCAATTTTCATATGAATTTAAGATTTAATCTGCCCTTAAATTGATAAGGCCCAAAATTACGAGTGAAATTCTTAACGCAATGACGACTTTTACCGATATTTTGTTACCCACTGTTACCGTTATTCCTGTAACAACTGTTACAGTTATTCTTGTAACAAGTGCTACTAAAATTTTGGTAGCAACTATTACCAGAATTTTTGCTCCAACTCTTACCAGGATTTTGGTAGCAACTGTTACCAGAATTTTGGTAGCAACTGTTAACAGAATTTTTGCTCCAACTCTTACCAGAATTTTTGTAGCAACTGTTCCAGAATTTTGGAAGCAACTGTTAACAGAATTTTTGCTCCAACTCTTACCAGAATTTTTGTAGCAACTGTTCCAGAATTTTGGTAGCAACTGTTACCAGAATTTTTGCTCCAACTCTTACCAGAATTTTGGTAGCAACTGTTACCAGAATTTCGGTAGCAACTGTTGCCAGAATTTTGGTAGCAACTGTTACCAGAATTTTGGTAGCAACTGTTACCGGAATTTTTGCTCCAACTCTTACCAGAATTTTGGTAGCAACTGTTACCGGTGGCGATGCATTGGAAACTAAATGCTTATTTCTATTCCAGCCTTGGATCCAGTAAGTTATCCATGAACGCACCTGCAGCTGTGCCCATTTCCATTTATATGGCGCGCCTGCTACGTCTCATCGCGTCAGTGACGGAATACATTTTGCCTCCGCGTCTGTCTCAAGTTTGCCTTCCTTCCACGCCAACTCGGTCCTTATGCATGATTTTATTCAGGTGTTTTACTTTTTATATGATTGCATTCAGGTGTTATTCGAATATTGTAGAAAGGCCTGTCTGTTCTCCACAGTATTCTTATTCAGAACTCAATTTTTCTCTGGTGTTATTCATTGAATATTATCGAAATAGCTGCCTGTAATAAATTAGAAAGAAAGAAAAGACTTCACATTTTTTTCCAATAATTTTCGGCAGTTCGTTGCAGCACTCCGCAACAACAACTCACAGGGTGCCGCGGGTACGCATAATCCTTGCCTCGTCTTCTGCGACCATTTAGCGCCAGGACATCCTGTGGTGAAGACGTCCAGCCCCTGTTCTTCAGTTGAGCTCTTGGAGTAAGGCCTTTGTTCGAAGCCCAAGCCTAAGCACGGTCAGCACTTTGGACGTGAGCACCGGTGTCGTCTGCTACACGACAGACCTCTACGGCCCATGGTTCCCCACAACGGCGACCACTACTTTGGCTCCGGCAACCTCTGCGCGGGTATTCACTAGCCCCGGTGCCAACTCTGCACCAGCAATTCATACAATGAATTGTTGATGACATTATTGCCATCATGCAAATTTTCATATAAGTAATTAAAGAGTTAAAGAGTTGACTTGTATTTTGTCTGCCTTCTGAATCATTTCAAACGGCTCGTTCCCAAAGTTTTGTTCAACAAATTCGCTGTTATTGTGACTTTTCAATCCATTCCTCTTTTCAGTATGAAATTTCAAATTGCTTAGCTTTCATCTTCGATCGATATTAAACTTGAATTTACGGGTAGTTTTGCTTAAGAATTGAGACTGGGGCTGGAAGTCAGCGGCAGTGAGTTCCTAATGAATTGTATCCCCTGGACTCAGAACTTCGTTCAGTTTCTTATTACCTTACTTAAGGGCTTCTTATTTTCAACAAAGCTTTATGAATACAGAGAAAAGTGTGTATTTTGATGTTATTTTTTATCTACTGTCCAACCATGTGACTGAATTCTTTAAAGACATAATTAAGGCATCAATTATTACAATTCGTAACCTTTGAATGACAAAAAGATCTGATATCTGGAATTCATAATTGAACTGAAGGTTCTGCATATATTTTGCCGCATAAATGATGCCATTATGCAATATGTATTTCTCTCAATATTCATCAAATTATTATGTCTAAAATGCGCCTCGTACAAAATATGAATTAAGTGATAAAATATTTTTACAGTTCTTAAAGAAAAATAGCTACGCCGCTGCACTGCAGAGAAATTTCAGAAAGACTTTAACAATTCCTGTCCAAAGAGGCTAAGTTTGCTACGTAAGGGCCTTCAAGTTTCACTGCACTAATATAGATAAAATGTGAATACGATATATTATATTAATTACGAAGGCAAGATATATACAAGAATGCAATTAACTTGCGAGCCCTAAGACTGGTTAAAATTTGAAAAAATTAAAAACTGTAATTGGCAATTTAAAAAAAATTAATAATAGTAACAAATTTGTCTCAAATTAATGACCAATCAGCAAGGTGCGAGTCAAAACCAACTTATCAAAATAGACGGCGTCACCAGTAAAAGGAATACGCTACACATAGAAAGGAAAAAAAAACAAACCAACATTCAAATTGAAAACCTTCCTACAAAAATTATACGAGCTTCCAGAACGCACTTCTGAACATGATTACACAAAAAACATATCATAAATCCAAAATGCTGATTTGCGTGCGTTTGGAAGGGAAATACAATTGATCAATCATGTTCAGCTGGAGCACAGAGATTGGATCACAGTCTTGAGAAGCCAATTTCCAGCTCAGCAACTCCTGTCATCTGTGTTCTCTAATTGCCACCGGAAGACGTTCTGCTCCAGATTAAAGCGCGCGTTAGAACTCAAGGTTTGGGCGCTGAGGGCTGGTGCAGGGCGCTGAGGTCTGGTGCAGAGCGCTGAGGGCTGGTGCAGAGCGCTGAGGGCTGGTGCAGGGCGCTGAGGGCTGGTGCAGGGCGCTGAGGGCTGGTGCAGAGCGCTGAGGGCTGGTGCAGGGCGCTGAGGACTGGTGCAGGGCGCTGAGGGCTGGTGCAGGGCGCTGATCGAGGGCTGGTGCATGGCGCTGAGGGCTGGTACAGGGGGCCGAGGGCTGGCAGTGTCGTTCATCGTCCTAAATAATAGCTAAACAAAAACAAAAGCTTTTGTTTTGCTTGTGATTTGACATTCTTTTGGGTATTTCGTGCGGCGTGTAGCGGACGCCCTGAGATTGTCGACGCGCAGTGGGGGTTTCCTCAGGCCGGATGACATTGAACTAAAACCTGCCATTGCCACTAATGAATATCTTGTTGAGATATGAAGATTGAAGCAAAGCTCTATGCGTGTCTGATCGTGGCAAATATACCCATTCTATATGACAAATGGCTGTTATTCACATCAAATTTGTGTTAACATAAAGGAATTTCAGGACACTGAATCAAAATTATTGTTTTAGAGATTTGAATTTTTACAGTAAGAGTTAAGTTAAGAATGACTTAAAGCGCCAGATACCGAAACAAACTCAGAATTCGAATATTAACTCGTCCGTATGTTCAGATGGCAAGTGCTGGGAGGAAGGATGTCAGAAAAAAGTATGTAATATTTTCCGTATAAATCGAAACTAATTGAGGGCCTAATTAGTTACCGGAGTTCCATGTAAGCAGGTGAGACATACTGCAGGGTAACAAAGATTCAAGAGGAAATTTACAGTTTGCAGAGTTCACCGAGTTTCGGGCTCTCATAATATTCATTTACTCGAACAGTCAGCCTAACTGCATGCGAAAATGGTTGATGATTAAAAGATCTTAGCATTGTTCTAGGGGCCTTATTAGTAATTATAAAGTGACAAAAACTCTACACTACAACACTAGATCGACTTCGTATGCTAAGGACCCAAGTAGAATTGGTTGAGATGGTTGGCAGCCATCCAGCTTTGCCGCACGTCTGCGTGGCTACGGTAGTCGTTCTCAGGGTAGTAGGAAGTGGCGAGACAGTTCACCAGCACTGTCACCAGCACCAGCAGTGACAGCAGGATAGCAGCACCTAGCTTGCAGTAGCGTTCCCAGTCTATTTGTTTGATGTTCTTGAGCAAACAGATGCCGAGCAGTAAGCCTGCTACAGCGCCTCCTATGTGAGCGACGTGCCCAGTCTGCCGAGACAAGAAATATTGTTTCCTTAGCGCATGAAGAAGGCGCTGGAAGTTCGCATTTAAAACTAGCGGGGCCTATGAAGCCTCAAGTGAATATGTAAGCCTGATGCTTTACTTGCGAGCAAATTTAATTTCTCAGTAGCGAGGATCTTAATCATGAAAGAATTTTTTTTCATTCGATATAACAATTTTAGAGAAAATAAGTACGAATATATGTACGAATTTTAATCATTTCTAAAACATGGCATAGATTTTTATTAAGATAAATTAGGAAAGCATCTATAGTTGCTCCTGCGATCAGAAAGAAGTTAATTGAACACAAATTGTATCAACATTAGGCATTGAGATCCCTATGAGATAAACCTAAACAGTAAATGGCATCATCCTTTTAACGCCTCAAAGATATAATCAAAACCAAGGAAATATTCCTAGTTTCGGAAGTTACCAAGTAAACAATCAATAACTTCTACCTATTGTCAAAAAAAAATTCAGCCGTGAAATTATTTTCACGTATGAAAATTCCGTGAGTGGTAAGACAATATTTCCATGGATTTTCTTTGATGTAATTATAAATGAAAAATGGCGTCTCACGTGAGAAGCAGACGCCACGTAGAAGGTATCGTAGATGGAGTAGCCGATGTCGACCACAGAGATCACTGAGATGACCACGGCCTGGGGCACGGGGTAGTGAAGCTCGTCCCAGTTCTGCCGTACAAACGTAAACTATTGTAAAAGTGAGCCATGACAGCCGGTAATGATGAACTAATAAACTAATAATTATGAATTAATAACGTAATAATGATAAACTTACAAAGTAATAATTATGAAGTAATAAACTTATAATGACAAAGTAATAAAGTAGTAATAATGAAATAATAAAGTAATAATGATAAACTAATAAAGTAATAATGATGAATTAATAAAGTAATAATGATAAACTAATAAACTAATAATGATGAATTAATAAAGTAATAATGATGAAGTAATAAAGTAATAATGATGAAATAATAAAGTAATAATGATAAGATAAACTGATAAACAAATAATTATGAACTAATAAACTAATAATGATGAATAATGATAATTCTATTATCTGCCGTGCATACAAACGTAAAAAATATTAAGCCATGCCAGCCTGTAATGACAAACTAAATTACATTCATGATACTCTTATATCTGATTCAATTTATTGAGCACGCATTTCATTATCCAGTGCCTGTTGAAAATTATAATGAAATAAAGCTCGTAAAAATGCTGATAACGTTTATAAAAGCATTTCAACAAGAAAGTGAACTTAATCTACCGAAACTTTTCTGAAGTGTATTAAAATTTCTAGTGCATCTTCTATGCCTAGATAATCTTGCATTGCACTAGATCCTGATACATTTCAAGTTTAAAATCGATCCGGTTCTTCTGCGTAGGTACTGTGTGCAACTGAAGTTTATTAGCGAATGCACAATAATCATTTATGAAACTATTTGAAATTAGGCACCTTCATGTATGTCACTTCCAAAAATATGTTCTGAAATGAACTAAAATATTGGTTATAGTATACATAGTTATTTTTCTAAACTTACTTTAGATCCAGACACGATAGATAAATTCTTTTGAGTGGCTTTTAAGGTAATTTATGGGATTTGGCTTAATTAGTTAGAAGCATAGAAGACGCCGAGTAAATTCATCAGATATTAAATAAAAATTCTATCATTGAAAAGAAGAAAATTTACCCGGCATTTCTTTATGAAATTACAATTTAAGCAGACTTATGATATAAGTGATTTATAGGCAAGGATTGCACTGGCATCTAAAGTATATAATATCAGGAATCGTTACTGCAAGTATTAACGTTGGAGCCGTCACTGGGAAAGTTAGTTATTAGGATGAATAAAACCTTCTTGTACACGAATATTTAGCAAAATAATTCTCGAAACCGTTAATACAAATCTAATATTCTTATATTCCTTCAAATATTCATATAAATGATTCTTTTCATATTGCAGCGGATTTGATACATTTGCTAACTAATATCATCATGCACCAGAACTGTAAAAAAATATAACTCAGTACTCACTGCAGTGCATTTTCTCGTCGACGAAAACTTGAGGTCACGGACGGACGGACAGACAGACAGACGGACGGACATGGCGAGCACAATAGTGCATTTTTTCCATAAATGAGAAAATGCGCTAAAAATGCTTACGATGATGAGGTTGGCGACGTGTGCGTACTGTACTTTTAATACTAATCTAATATACTTATATTCTCTTCTCTTTCATACATATATTAATACATATGATTCTCTTCATATTCAAGTGGATTTGATACATTTGCTAACTAATATCATCATGAACTGAAGACGGTAAATATATGCTTACGATGATGAGGTTGGCGACGTGTGCGTATTGTACGGCGTACACGCCCCCCGACGCGCCGGCCAGGAAGAAACGCGGCGTAGCAACGGACGTGGCGAGCGCACCACACACCACGCCCGCGAGGTACAGCCCGCACAGCCGGACCGGTCCATGCACAAACTCCAGCACCAGCCCGAACATGAGCTGTGTCACCAGGTTAGAGACCAGGTGCAGCCAGCTGACGGGAGGAATGTGATGAACATGAGCTGTGTCACCAGGTTAGAGACCAGGTGCAGCCAGCTGACGGGAGGAATGTGATGAAGGAATGTGATGAAGGAATGTGATGAAGGAATGTGATGAAGGAATGTGATGAACATGAGCTGTGTCACCAGGTTAGAGACCAGGTGCAGCCAGCTGACGGGAGGAATGTGATGAATGAATGCGATGAAGGAATGTGCTGAACATGAGCTGCGTCACCAGGTTAGAGACCAGGTGTAGCCAGCTGAGGGCAGGAGGGGTGAGGGGATGTACTAAATTGCAAAATTAATGGCAGTTCAAATACTCTGATGTATTACCTTGGTTACCACGAAGGCTTGAATTAAATGAAAATAACCAGCATGTAATATCATCAATCGTTGGAGATTCTGAAAATTAAATATTCCTCGCAATAAAAATATCGAGTTGAGGCCTGAGGCTCGAAGCAAATTTAACGCAAATTGCTGCAATATATCCAGAATTTCTCGGAATTTGTGGGAATAAAAGTTTATAAATTAGGATCATTTTATTGCTTCAAAGGAAAAATACAAGAATTTAAATACAATGAGAATGCCTATAAAATTCCACGTGCTCGTATTTAAAAAAATTACGATGCAAAATAGATTATATTAATGCAAAATAGGTTAAAGTCTAAATATACCAATGAAAGAGGAAATTAAAAGTAAAAATTTTCCAAATAAAACTTTCGAGCAGATAAGAACTCTTATAGCGTTGTTGACTAGAGATTTTCCTCTACAAGTCCGAAATGATTGCGAAATTATCTGATTTGGTTTGAGATTTAAGATCATGAAATCGTTTCATATATACATGTAAAATCTTTGCTTGCATAGATTCACTTGCATCATGAGTTTTTTAACTGATGATGGAAATGGTCTGGTTAAAGCTTCGTCAAAGAAAACATGATGAATTTTCTTGTAATTATCTTTCTTTCAAAATTTTAGTTAATATATTTAGAGTTGAAAGTATGGGCCTGCGTGAACATGAACTGATGTGGGTTTAATGAAAATGATTGAGAATTTAAACAAGCTCGTCTGTGTTGCATAAACATGTATAGACAGATATCAGACACATCCGGAATGACACATGTATGAGACATGAACCGGCTCACCCGGAATGTATGAACATTTATGAAACGGACCCAAACTCACCCGGAATGTATGAACATTTATGAAACGGATACAAACTAACCCGGAATGTATGAACATTTATGAAACGGATACAAACTCACCCGGAATGTATGAACATTTATGAAACGGATACAAACTAACCCGGAATGTATGAACATTTATGAACGGATACAAACTCACCCGGAATGTATGAACATTTATGAAACGGACCCAAACTCACCCGAAATGTATGAACATGTATGAAACGGAAACAAACTAACCCGGAATGTATGAACATGTATTAAAAGGACCCCAAACTCACCCGGAATGTANTGATGGTGGTGACCTGGGGGAGTAGGGGCATGATGGTGGTGACCTGGGGGAGTAGGGGCATGATGGTGGTGACCTGGGGGAGTAGGAGGCATGATGGTGGTGACCTGGGGCTGTGTGAAGACAACTCTATACTTTTCTTCAATTAATAAATTGAAATTAAATATTGATAGTAAGAAATATTTTCAGAAAGAAATACTTCAGTAAGACTACGTTGCTGCTTTGCTCCGACACACCGACGTGTGGCAACGATGCAGTGTAACATGACATTAAATTAATGCGTAAAGTAAAGATTCTTAATTTATTTTTACGTCATCATCTATGTCAATGCAGAATTCTTCTGTAAATACATAGAAAGGCATTGCCATAGAAGCAAATATTAAAAAGGCATAGTCTTTATGTTTTCATTATCATTATTACTTATCTGTTCTACTCTCTGAACAAATTTACCGACATGGTAACCACGAAAAACTCACTCAGAGAAATGTGCGGGACTTTGTCCAAACAGCGATTCCCTTTTTGCCCTCTATGTATCATCCTGACCCACTTCATCCATGGCATAAGGGCGTATCAGTGCTACATGCGGAAAGTGCGTCTCCATTCGAACAATATGACCACCTGTATATTTTTTTTCACAGAAAGTGTGTCACTATTTCAACAACATGACCAACTAGTGCTGAACCCACCTGCGCTAGGGACATGACGAGGATGAAGACAGGAGGTGGCCAGAAGGACCACCGACATGCCGACCATGAGGACAGAACACACCTGCGCTAGGGACATGACGAGGATGAAGACAGGAGGCGGCCAGAAGGAGCACCGACATGCCGACCATGAGGACAGAACCCACCTGCGCTAGGGACATGACGAGGATGAAGACAGGAGGCGGCCAGAAGGAGCATCGCTCGACGAGCTTGCGCTGCTGCAGGTCGCGCTCCGAGGCCGGCACTACGCACCACGCTGCCTGACGCACCAACCGCCGCAGTACACCGCTGGGGGGCGTAGTGCTTCTCTGGTCCAAATAATACGCGATATTGTAGAGGTAGTTTCTGATACGTTGTACTTTGAATAATTACTCTCTTTGCTTGGTTAGCAGCGTGGTCCAGTGGTTACAGTTCAGTGTATCATGATTGGAGCAGAGAGGTGTGGGTTCGATTCCAGCTCCCTGCGACATTTCTGGTCAGAATCAGCGAAGATGCAGGGTGGTTAATTATAGCAAAATTGTAGCAGCGAGTTGGGTGTTCGAGACTGCAACAAGCTGTGAATGTTCTGCGATACTAAGAATCGAGGAAATATCTAACGGCCAAGTGCGTCTTTACTTACTCTGCGTCTTTAACCACTATTATAATTATAATGCTGCCATTATAATTATAATGTGACCATAATTATGGTTTGGTACTAATTATGCAACGTTCCACCCAGTTGGTCTACTGAGCCTGGACTACAGGGCCGCGGTGCGCGGCTCGTGACATTAAATGGCAGGCCTATTTTAGAAGCTAATAATAATTTAATCACAAACAAAAAATGAATAGGGAAATGTATGAATTGCATAACGATCGAGCAACAATTACATCCACTATACCTAATATATGAGCTTCAATTAATTGATCAAAGAACCAATTAATGAACTCTAACACAAGTTGAAGCTCACTACACTTATTAGGATATAGCGTTACTTAGATCACTCGATTACTTGAATCATATATTTACCAGATATTTGAAAGTAAAGAATGTTTCACAAAATTCACGATATCTTTATGGAAAACGTTTTGGGGAATAAAGAAAAATTGAAATAAACATTATGGTATTCTAATCCGCGTTCATACGCCTTCTTTCTAGACAGTTTTAGAGCGTTTAGTCTACATTGTTTTGGAGCGTGCAGTCTAGATTGTTTTGGAGCGTTCAGTCTAGATTGTTTGGAACTTATACTGTCTGGATTGTTTTGGAGCTTTTGTCTAGATTACTTAGGAGCGTCCAGTCCAGGTTGTATAGAAGCTTTCTGTCTAGATTGTTTTAGAGCTTCCATTATAGATTGTTTAGATGCCTTCTATCTAGATTGTTTTGGAGCCTTCAGTCTAGATTTTTTACCATTTCATTGCGTCTTTAATATGTGGCACTAGCACCCTGTTAAAGGTTCACTCTTGTGACGATACTGTGATCCATTCTTACCAAGATGCTATCAGCTCGTACAACCAATAAGCTCGATCTATGGCTGTGTAATACGTAGCCATATATGAAGGTGAATAGTTAGTTAAATGTTTGTTTTGAACCCCGCGGACTTTAGCCCTAGCAGTGGAATATATGAAAGATGGCATTAGTTTCAATATATTGCAATTAAGTCGTAAATCTAGGCGCTATAAGGTAAAAATGAATATAAGAACTCGACGGATTCTTCGTATAGTCATTTTGAGATTCAGGTTAGTGAGCAACGCAGCGCACAGAATCTGCATTAATCTTCATGTTTCCATAGAAATAAAATTGAAAAATATTCGTTATTTTTTCAATGAAAATAGGTCAAATAATTTTTGAGCGACTCCAAACAAACTCTTTAAACTCTATATTTACTTATTGGTATCAGAACTTCAGTTCCGTTCTAAATTTTCGGGATTTGAGTGGTGCAATATTCGTCGATTCTCCAGCACCGAGGTATCACATGTGCGGCACTGCAATCATATTTTGCGGAACGAATTTTTCTGCTCAACACGGAGAAAGAATTGAAAAAAATTTTTTCACTAAGGCAACAAATTGTGAGTTTTTTTACATCCACTAAGGTTTAATCATTCGTACTGAACATATTATGAGCTAGAAAGCTCTGTTTTCACATTCCTCTGATGTTTAGTCGCACTATCACATTTAGAGCGTAAAAATAAATGTCCACTCTGACCGGAAGTTTCTTGTTAAAGTGGAAACCTTACACTCAGACAGATGATTAAGACCTGGCAAAAAGCCGTATCTGTGCTACGTGCTGCTAGAAGTGCATCACTATTTGTACAACGTCGCCCATTCAGTTTTCTCAGTGTAAGCCATTAATGGTCTTCTTTTAGCAGGTGCAGCGTACATTGTACTGTACAATGTTTGTACAATGTACAATGTTTATACAATGTACAATGTTTATACAATGTACAATGCTTGTACAATGTACAATGTTTATACAATGTACAATGTTTGTACAATGTACAATGCTTGTACAATGTACAATGTTTATACAATGTACAATGTTTGTACAATGTACATTGAGGTAGCGGGCTCATCTTCACATGCCGACACGAGACTCGGGTGTTTAAAATTTTTTTCTCCATGTTCGAGAATATAAGTGCAGGGTCTCATACTATGTTTCACGTACTTTTTAATTATATTAAAAAGTCAATTATAAATTTTTTTCATGATAATTAAGTTAGTCAACGATGATTGCATGTGCAGGTAGATAGTCTTCAATTATAAGGCGAAACGACCTGCACTGAGATACATAATTTGTACTTTTTTCGACATATTTTTAAATTAGTGAACTCGGCCAAAAAAACAATTTTTGAAGTCTAGGCAAACGCAGCCCCAAGATTTCTAGTGCTCATAATTCTGGTCGAGTTTCTAGGCCAAGAAAGTAGGCCAAATATCCTAAATAAAAGTGCAAAAACTTTTGTTGGAAGTGAGGGGAGAGGTATCAAAGCGAGCGTTCGCAAAGACGTTTTTAATGAGTTCCCGTTCAAACGTTCCTGGTCTATGCCGTTATTTGCATTTTAAGCAAGAACTTACCCATGCATATTGCAAATATTTAAATAAAAACTACAGCTGTATTAAAGCTAGTTAATAATTGTGAAATTAATTGAACTTCATTTAGATGGAAAATTGGGTTAAATTCCGAGTTTATGTCTTACGTCTATGAAGACTTTATTGGAACTGAAGCAAGGCTTATAATAATGATGATAAATTGATAAGAGATGAAGCAAAGGTGGTGAAAGTGGTATGAGTTTCTCGTTGATGAATATTGATCTTGTAATGAAATATTATTTGATAAATTTAATTTAAATGTTCCATCATCTGTGATCGCTTTAAAGTTTTGAATTGAAAACTTCGGGTGCATCTCAGGTACAGACCGTGTACCCGAACTAACAATGATTTTGTTTGATTTTCCTAAGTTTGATTTTGGCATGGAAGCTCAGGAAGGGATACTTTTAGGCGATCAGACGACTTACATCAGCAACACTACTTGCAACTTAACTGATCTGAAGACTGGAAGGCTCACGTCCATCTGAGCTCCTGAATTCCTTTCACAAGATCCCAAACTTGGGTTAAGCTCGTTACAAGCTATACCAATTAATGCTGATTAAACCGAGGAACACGATCATGAAAATAATGCGCAAAAATTATTTTCTATTATATAATATGAAACCTCATTACATAGTTGACCTCTCAGACTTAACCGAGGCTAAAAATCCCGATCTTGTATGACTTCATTAAGAGCCACAGTGTCCAAAAATCCAAAAATTTAAATGATTTTTCTACTTCATTTCATGCGATCGTGTTTTCAACCGATCCAATTAGCATTTTTTATGAACAACAAACGCCAAGAGGTAAGCGAGATTATGAACTGGAACGAGGGAAGACCGACCATAAAGTAGATTGCATTTAATATTGCATAGAAATGAATGTTTTGAAACTGAAAATGAATGAAATCATATTTAATTTATTAGAATGAGGGTTGTTTCATTTTGCTTCCAGCATCAGAACTTCTTAGTGAACTGTTCACATTCTTCTCGTGAACTGTTCTCTCTCTCGAATTAGTTGCACAACGCGTAACTAAACAAAAGTTTTCAAAAAAAAAAAACGATAAGATAAGGTACTCTGTAAGAATATTTAATGAGAATAATAAAATTAAATAACCAAAAACTTCGTTTATGACACATTACACGATCGTTCATGTTCTAATGAGTCGTGATTTATAATAGAGGAAAATAAAACATTTCCTTCCTGAAAAAATTAATTTGAGAGCAAAGAGTCTATCATTAAACTCTTCAGCAGAGGGGCCAACGTACTTTATTAAAAATAAAAATAACAAATTGCCAAGACACTGCAACCACTCGATAAAGCTTCTTCGCGTTCGTCTAACAAAATGCTCTATTCAAAGCATGCAAAGAATTCGAGGCAAAGAAAATACTGCACAAAATTGTAGTACAAAAGGACGAGTTTAAATTCTCAATAAAGTTATATCTTTCCATCTACCTTGGCAACACCGTTAAAGAAGTTAACGTCGCTTTGACATGTTACTCGTTAGTCATTATCTTTTGGCTGATCCCCACAGCAGGTTAGTTTAAGCTCTAATAAGTTCCTTCTCATTATCTAAATGCTTTTTGTATTTGTTATATTGTATTATCATTTCTTTATTCATGTATTAAACAACGATTATTTATCAGATTTACTTCTTGAAAGGTCTGTACGTTGCCAAGAGTATTATTACGAGTTTTATTTTCCATTCATTATTTATACATGAAATATTCAGCTTGACTACAGTTGCCAATAACAGTGTTTAAAATCTCGCTTGAACCAGTCCATTTAATACGAACTTGAGACATACGAGGAAACCTAAAGTTCGTCTCATGCCTCGATCTGTGGGCGGAAATACTTGGAACTTACCCACAAATTCACCATGTATTTTTAGCGCATTCTCTCATTTATGAAAAAAGGCGCTATTGTGCTCGTCATGTCTGTCCGTCCGTCCGTCCGTCTGTCCGTCTGTCCGTCCGTCCGTGACTTCGCAGACGGACAGACGAGAAAATGCGCTCTCTGTCACTCACTGCAGTGAGTACTGAGTCATATTTTTTGAGAACGTTTTGGAGTTCACCTCCGTCGTCAGTTTGAAAATTTTGGAATACAAGTTCGATCAATTAGCACAACTAAACATTTTAAAATTATATGAAAAAATAAAAAAGATTGCAACGGGAAATGATCACAAATAGGCAGAGCTATTTTGTTATATGATAAAAGGAAGAAATAAATGCGGTATTCAAACTGGGCTTATATTTTAAAAAAATATTAACTTATATTTTTCAGTATATTTACGAGTAAATACGAGTTTTTCTGCATGCATGTCATTATTTCCCGTCGCCTTGTCTATCATATGTCAATTTAAGTTGGATGTATTCGGTAAAATTAAGTTGAGTTAGTTAATTGAACTTCTATTCTTAGATTTACTAACTGACGGTAGAGCTGTACTCCGAAAAATTTACTTTGGATGTATGGTGAAATTTTTGTATAACTTTTTGCTTTAATTTGTTCGCTAGTTTTCGAATTCATGCAATCAGTCATCTTGCTACAATTCCTACGCATCGCAATTATGTTTATCCAATAACAAGTGCAATAATCCTCAAGCCGTCTTTTTTGACTAAATTCCATCAATTATTTTTGATCAAATTTCGTTTTACGGCTCTGGTGTACGTAGTAAAGAAGCAGCTTCCAGAATGTATATTTGCCAACAGCTTCAGCCTAAATTTCATTGCATTATCTTTTTAACGTTGAGTTGATTTTAAAATTTTTCTCCACGTGATTTAATATTTTTTACGATAGCGAATTCCATCCGTTAAAAAAACAATGCATGAATGAAGTTCACGGAAGTTGGTGTATTAATTTAAAACTTTCAAGAAGTTGCACTAGATGGCCTGGAACTTCAGGCTTGTATCGCGAGTAGCGTTCATAAAATTTCGAACAAGCATGGTACAGCGTCTTGTTTTCGTGATTTAATTATGTAGCTTGGGTTTCTTCTCTGATGGAAACCTCTTCTCAAAAGCCTCACAAAAACTGACGAGGCGACGAAAAACTTGAAATATTTTGGCCCCACATGGCTCCTGCCTCATTATTTTTATGATGTAAAAGTACCCGCTTATTAAACATATTAATTTTCCATAGAATCATTCTTTCCATTTGGTCAGACAACAAAAACATTGTTTTTTTTTTTTTGCTAACAGAATCTACGTTGTTAGTATGAAATGCTTGGCTCAATTTACGATAAATTGTGATGTGTAATTTAAATGTAATATTATATGTCCGCTCTTTATAGAAAATAATCTTTGACGTCCTGAATAATTCACATTCATGAATACGAACGACACTGTACGCGACATTGACGACGTTGTTTCTAGCCAAGTAAGACCTTCAGCAGCTTTCCTGTTGTTGAGCCACCGCATGTGGTACTGATTATAGCTATAGCTAACTAATTCCATTCTAATAAAGACGGAACTATTTCTTAGAGTCTTTGAATCTAGTGCTTAGTCATTTTATCCGTTCCAATCCTTTCTTGTGTCTATTCATTTTTCGCTTGCTATTACTCTTATGTGTGACGTGCCCTCGAAGTTTGTTTGAACCAGTCGCCACGATAAATGCTTCTTAGAATAATAATAATAATCATAATAATAATAATAATGATAATAATAATAATAATAATAATAATAATAATAGTAATAATAATAATAATAATAATAATAATAATAATAATAGCCAGTAAACTTAAATATTGATCAACTAAAGTCCAACAAATTTAAATATTTCTCATGCAAGTTACTGCCAAGCTCAGTGTGATCAGACATTTTATCAATTTTACTACAAAAATTTTTATTTGCTATACATCTCTATCTCGCACGCAGAACCTTTATCAAGATTAAATTAAAAAAAAATTGTTTGGAAAATATGAAATTGAGAAAAATTTTCCTTCCTTCGTTACAGAGTTTGATATCAGTTATAATACCGAAAGCTCATACTTACCAACGAAGAAGATTCAACATCATCATTATTTGCCTGCCCATAATTAAATAGAGTTTAAATCTTAATAAGCTCGGTCGTTTCGGGTTAATTTATTTGCCCGTTATTTATCCCATCTTCTATTGTTCTTTCTTGTTGAACTCCGAAGTGTAATTAATTACGGTCCGATAACTAATTCAATGTTCATCGTAGTCAAAAACTCATGCTTGCTTACAACGTCCTAACCTATGAGTCACTTTAAAGGAAAATCGCATTTAAAAGGAAAATCACCTTCTCGCAAGATGCTGTTACTTACGCTGGAGCAGACTATATTATATAACAGACTAGATAAAGCTGGAAAATCTATGTTCCTATTTGAAATGCCTAGCACCATATCGAACCTGGGTGAAGTCTAGTTGATATTTCAAACTATCGCTAGTCATGAAAAGATCCGGTCAAATGACACGATTTGAGATCTTCTGTGAACATGGCACAAAAAGTTCAAGAATCGGCGACAGGCCACATCAGGCCTACACTTCAGCGCCGACATCGCTATGTACTATGTTATGTTATATTATTTAGAAATTTGGAAACGTAAGTGAATGAAGAATACATACGATGTTGAAGAACTCCTGCTTGCTGATGAGTCCATCTTTGTTGCTGTCAGCCTCCAGCAGCGCCTGGTAGATGACCTCGTCCGAGACGTGCTGGTCCTGAGACACACGAAGCAGGTTGTCGAGCATCTGCTCGAGCGTGACGTGCTCTGCCCCATAGTAACCTGCGAGACGATCCCATTCTTCTTCCCATTCCTTAAGAAAAAGAAATAAATTGGGATGTAAAATTAATTTCTTAATTGGGATGTGGAATTGAAAAATCAATTTTTTAATTGGGAATGTAAAATTTAAAAATCATAGAAATAAGTCAATCATAAGACATAAGAGAAAGATATTTTTAAAGAAAAATCATAAGTGAAGTCAATTGAAATGGGATTAAATAGTTAACTATCAAGCAAGAATAAGAGATAGGTTCATTACATTTGTGTTGTTATTGGAAATTGCATTTATTATGGTTCCGTCACCATCTACATTCCGTTTATGATAAAAGTATTGAACGAGTTTCGTTTATGATTACAGCATTAGGTTTGGTTTTATAATCCCTTGGGACTAGTTTAATTGATTGCTGTTATATATTTAAAAATTCGCCTTATCGACCCGTAAAAATTCAAGTTCTCGATCCCAGTTGCAAAACGTGCTCCTAGGAAACGGAAAATTTTTCAATCATTTAAATGAATCATTTTACAATTACGGAGATAAAATATGTGTAAAACCTGGTCGTTAGAAAAACACTTTAGATGTTGCGACGCATGTGACTCACTATTCTTATCTCAACATAGGTTGTCGTTGTTTTTGAAGAGGCCTTCAAAGGCACCGTGGAACGAGCTCGCTCTACCGCAGACCTTACATCCGTTTGTGAATATCAGGCAAATAAACCTTAATACCATTTAAATTCTGACCAAAACCTGTCATTTTTAGCGAATTTTTTCATTTATGGAAAAAATGTGCTATTGTGCTCGTCATGTCCGTCCGTCTGTCTGTGACTTCACGTTTTCGTCGACGAGAAAATGCGCTATCTGTCATTCACTGCAGTGAGTATTAAGTTATATTTTTTCTTAGTCACCAATACATTTTTGGAATTTTATATACTTTAATATATTTTCGACCGCAATTTTTAATCAGGACTCACCTCGTTTGTCATTTGTTGCTCATGTTGTTCTATTGTGCTGACTCTTATGAATCCTCCTCGATCGTCCCCCATTGCGAATAAGTTGTTTTTATATATATTATGATTATATCCCAGTTATGATCGCGGATTTTATTAATGAGATTATGGGTTAATTGTTCTATGTTTCATCACTGGTCAGCAATTCTTGGTTATTCAGAATAACTTGTCGCTCTGCTCGGGCTAACCAAACGCGCTAGGGAGGTTCCAAAAAAACTTGAATAAGTACAGTGCCGGAAATGGCTATACGACCATCCAGTTTTCTCCAAATATTTTTTCTTGCACAAAAAAATATGGGATTCTAATTACACGAGGTTAAACTACGTTTAAAAACGGTTCCAACGCTATGCGAAAAAAATAATTTTCTCAAAATATATGGGTAGAAATGATGAAAATTATAAAAACCTAGGTAGATATGGTTATAAGACCAAAATATGTTTTTCTGTTTGTGGATCACATACACTCATTTTAATAGGCAATCTCACCTCCTTTCGCCATAACTATCTCAATGCATCTTCTCCCCACGCTATTTACCATATACATGTAATCCAGTGTCTTTTGAGAAATTTTATCCCGAGAACGAAGGATAGCCGTGCTCAGGTCACTCACAGATTGAAACTGGCGCTCATTTTGGTAAACATCCCTCGCCATGATGTCCCATAAGTTTTCAATGGAGTTGAGGTCAGGACTAAGCGCTTGCCACGGCAGGGACCATAAAGATTGGACTTTTTACATCACTGAAGATAATCTTGTGCCATCCCTTACCAATAAGGAAATTTTTTTTCAGCAAATTTTTGTCGGTTGATAATATGCTTATGTTGGAGCACAGGGGCATTTTTCCTCTTCATGTATTTTAATTTCTTCGAGTCATGCAATGTCTAACGCATGCGTCGTGCTGTCACATCAACTCCAGTGACCAATCTTATAGAAGTAGAGGTAGCGCAAGTTTAAGAAGCCTCAGAAAACAGTCTTCTAAGATCCCTGTCGGTTAATTTTGGGGTTGGTCCAGTGTGCTTTTTTCACCCGTAGCCGCCCGGATTAGCAAAAAAAAATGATTGTGCAATGGGTTTTGAGCGTTTTATTCCCATTTCGATGTCCCGTTGGCTTCTACTGCATTTCACAAAGCCGAAAATCTGCGCCTTCTCGGCCTCAGTGAGTCTTGTCCCTTTGGGCATATTTTTACTTCAAAAAATATAAGTGAGGACACTGAACTACACCAGAAGTACACCAGCAAGGCATTAAATGACGAAAATCAAGATATTATTTATATTGCTGTACTTTTTAAAGTGAAAATATTACAGAAAGATACCAAAATGGAGAAAAAATATCTTAGTCTTATAACCATTTCCACCTAGGTTTTTCTAATTTTCATAATTTCTTCTCATATATTTTGAGAAATTAATTTTTCGCATATCCTCGGAAACGTTTTTAAACGTAGTTTAACCTCGTATAATTAGAATCCCATATTTTTTGTGCAAGAAAAAATATTTGGAGAAAACTGGGTGGTCGTATAACCATTTCTGGCACTGTATATGGGTGAATAAATTAAGACGCAACGAAAATGGGATCTGTTGAACGAAGTCCACGCAACTTTTACTCAGTAAACAGCACCTTTAAGAATTCAGCTTTAAAATTGCGGGAACAGATGTTTTGATATACACTGATCGCGGTGCCCGCGTAATCAAATAGTTCCACCGTTCTAAAACTGAAGTAGCAATGAATGAATGAACTGTAAACTTCAATATAAAAAGTATGCTTTTGCTCTGCAGATCAGCGTCAAATGGACCAATCGTCTCGGATGATGCAGTCCATTGGCTTATGACGAGACGTTTCATTACGCCAGTTTTTGAACTGCATATTGTTCCGAAAACATGACACACATCACTTCACTCTATTCCCACAGTGTACTAACTCATGAACGAGATTAGGAGCTAGTTTCTGTGAGTCAAAAGCACCAAGAGCCTATTCGGCGATTGTGATGTAAAGTCTAACGCTATTCTTACGGTGAAAAGATTCCTGATCCGGCATTAGTCCTTATCTGAAGATATGACCTTATCTCCACATTTCTCAACGACACTCCCACCTCCCCGGATGTGTGAAAACAATAACATCACATCGATACTTTAAAACTTCACATCTGTGATTCGAATTTATTAAAGAATTGAATGTTTGTGCATATCCGCGATGGAAAATTTCTAATAGAATTTTTTTGTTTGGAATTACAGGTGAACCTGCTATTGTTATCGCTTAGGCCGTTCCAAGTTTAAAGGGACACATATAATTATGTTAACACAAAATGCTCTAAAAAATTTTTCTTAGTAAATTATATTATGTCAGAAAAGATGAATTATATTCCATTTCTTTTCTGCTCACATCATTCCAAATTGATGTCACATAAAAAAAACATTAGAAATAAAATCGTCAACCAAATATGTAGATAGTTGAAAGTCGAAAATTGATTGTCATTCGATATGATATAGAGTCTTATTGAGTTGCGATAAAAAAAAGATAGAGAATTATGTGCCAATATGGAATTGGTCGGAAATAATTTTAACAATTTTCTATAGTTACACTTCAAAGTTCAGTTTTCTTTTTCAGAAAACGATGCATTAAGTTGAAGAGTAGATAGTAAAATGCTATGTTGTTGTTGCTGGGCTTGGTACAGAGACCATGAGTTCATAGGTAAAAATCTTCTGAATAATCTAGATTAAAGTGTTAGATTTCATTGTCTTATATATGATTGTTCAAGTCATGTCACCATTAAGTGTTATGATATTTCACATATAGTTAGCATTGCGTTTATGTCATGATCTGTATACATTTGAACCACTCGATTAGGTAACAACTTTAAGTCTTCGCAGTGTGTCGGAGTTGAAGATCGGAAATCGGTCGCAACAAGAGTTTACCTACTTCGAATTGGCCAAGCTTAATAATTTGATAACTAATTAATATATGTAATATTGAAATTTTATTTTTGCTATCAACTGAATATGTAATAGGAATTGCCATAGAACTGAAATGGTGCTAAAAGCCTGCGCATTATGCATTATTAATGGGTTTGGAGGTCGGGTCCTCCAATATCCAATCTAATGTTTGCTACCATGATCATAAATAACAAAAAGAAACAACAAATGCAAACCTTGCCACAATTCATTTAGATTGGTGGCTGTAATGCTGTATTACTAAAATTACTGTAATTTTGGGCTTCTTGAAATTTTGCACATGATTGCTATGGATTATGGTTTATAGAAGTGGGCAGATATTATTACTTGTTAGAAAATGAAAATATTTTAAATTAATCAAGTTTTTATGGAAATTAAATGAAAGCACCTTTGTTTATATAGGCTAATAACAAATTTTTAGCAAAATGCAACTTATGAAAAAGTGAAGAAGAATGGTTTTTCAAAGTATTTTTTAGAAATATTGTGTAGCCTAGGTACCTAAAATGTGTAGGCCATTCTGGACTTGGAATAGGTATTCCTTGATAAGTTTGCTTGATGCTTATTATTAAAAAATATAACTCAGTACTCACTACTCACTACTCAGTACTCACTGCAGTGAGTGACAGATAATGCATTTTCTTGTCTACAAAAACGTGAAGTCATGGACTGTGTGGTCAGTGTGGACTGTGGACGGATCACGGATAGAGTCTGACAGATGAACATGATGAGCACAATAGTGCCTTTTTTTCATGGATGAAAAAATGTGCTAAAAATACATAATTTTGAATTTTTATTGTTAAATATTGCTATAACAACTGTGCATTTGCTCATTAAAATCAATAAGTTAAATTTGTGATAACTTCCTCTGATCCTCTCATGCCTGACTAGGTATTTCCTCAGTTGCCTGGTAATAGAAATTACATATAGATAATAGATAGAGTAGGTACTAGGACTACTAGCATACTACGTGGCATAGCCATAGAGGCAGGAGCCAAGAGCAGGAGCCTTAGGAGGTATTCATGGCTCATGACATGAATCCATTAAAAATGTAAATTTAAATTTCTGGTGCTTAATTTAACCCACAAAGATGCTCAAATACAATTTTTAATGCTCAAATACAATTTTTAATGCTCAAATGCTGTCAAGAATGGATATCTTGTATCTAGCCTCTAAAATTAGCAATAAATGCATATTTACATCAAGTTACTTATGTTATACGTTTTATTTACTAAAACCAAGCCATTTGATTGGTGATTTGTGAATTTTTAGTAAACCATTGAGACAAATTATTTTTTTACATATATGCATTCACAGATATGCTTCTCAGTACTGTCAACTGGGTAATAAGAGATGATTTTTTTGTGAAACCATGAAACCTTTCATAAACATGTTTGAGCTTATTTTAAATGTTTTTGCAAGGGCTATTGCATGGCATCTTAAAAAAATTCTGTACACTATTCATAAGGTGCCAGAAGCAAAAAAAGCGCCCCAAATTACTTACCCCTGATAACAGGGTAATCTGGTAAACTTGCACTAAAACTTAATTTTAAAATGTTTGAAGCATGCAGAGTGTACTCCTCTATTACTAACAGTACTCTGAAGTCCTTCTCTTAATTTATAGATGATGTAGATGTAGAGTAAATGATGTTTTCTGTGATTTGTACTGGGTTTTCATTTATTGATGATATTACCATATCGATTTTTCATTAACAAAACCTTTCTATATTCTATTCCTAATACTTTTAAACCCCATCCGAAAAAAATTTCCATGCCATTGACAATGACATTGTCCACTGCAAGCTTCATATCAGCAGCCATATAGTACCGTCAACCAGGGCAACTCGGGACTGGCAGGGAAACTCGGGACGCACCTCTGACACGTCGTAAAACAGTCATAGTAGCGAAACTAATTGGAATATTGCTAAACTAAATATAGTGGCCTAAACAACAACATTTTTCCTATCTATGTAGTATAATGATGGCCAAAGTGGGGTAATAAACGGTCATAAACAGTGGCCAAAGTCACTCAGGCGTTTATGACCTGGTTTACAACCCTGGCGTTTATGACCCCGGCGTTTATGACCCCGGCGTTTATGACCCCGGCGTTTGCGACCCACGTTTAGGACCCCAGCATGAATCAAAAACACAGCCGAAGTCACCCCAGTTGATGGTAATTAATGATTATGGTTATATCATATCAATGAAGGAAAAACTAGTAAAAGTCACAGAAAATGTCACTTATT